AGAGGCAGCTGATTGATGTTTCTCTTTAACATCAGTGTTTCTTTCCCTCTCTTTTTCCCTTCCCCTCTCTCTGAAATCAGTGAGCATGTCCTTGGGTGAGGATAAACAAAAAGACAGCAAAAGAAGACCAAGTGCTAAGTTTAGTGGCTAAACTTATAATTATACTTTTATTATTGCTTTTCATACCATCATCTATATTATAGGATAGCCAGGGCCTTATAAAGAACTTGCAGTTTTGGCGAAGGTGAGGTCTGAGGTCAAATACAGTCACATGCCACTTAACAATGGGATATATTCTAAAAAAAAAAAGTATCGTTAGGTGATTTCATCATCACTTGAACATGATAGAATGCTCTTACACAAACCTAGATGGTATAGCCCATCACACACACAGGCCATATGGTACAGCCTGCCGCACCCAGTCCACAAATCTTTACAGCATGCTACTGCACTGAGTACTGTAGGCAGTTGTAACAATGAAAAGTATTTGTTTATCTAAACATAGAAAAGGTATACTGAAAATATGGTCTAAAAAATCAAAATGGTATACCTGCATAGGGCACTTACCATGCATAAAGTCTGCAGGACTGGAAGCTGTCTGGGCGAGTCAGTGGGACAGTGAGTGAGTGTGAAGGCCTCGGACACTACTGTGCACTACGGTAGACTTTATACACACTGTACACTTAGGTTACACTAAATTTGTAAAAGAAATATTTTTCTTCAATAATAAATTAACTTTAGCTTATTACAACTTTTTTACTTTATGAAGTTTTTAGTTTTAGAAAAATTTTTGACTCTTGTGATAATAGTGTAAATCACAAACACATTTTACAGCGGCACAAAAATATTTTCCTTGTATCTTTATTCTATAAGCTTTCATCTGTTTTTTAAATTACATTTTAAAAAATTTTATTGTTAAAAAGCCAAGTCACAAACACACATATTAACCTGGGGCTGACAGGGTGAGGATGGCCAGTATCACTGTCTTCTGCCTCCACACCTCGTCCCACTGGAAGGTCTTCAGGACAATAACACACGTGGAGCTGTCACCTCCTGTGACGACAGTGCCTTCTTCTGGAACTCCTCCTGAAGGACCTGCCTGTGGCTCTTCTTGGGAAGGTGTCACTTCTTTCAGACATGTGTCCCTGGTGGTTTGCTTGGTTTGTTTCCTTTTTTTGTTATAAATTTATTTGTAAACAGGCAATGCTATGATGTTACACAGTTACAATGTCACTAGGTGATAGGAATTTTTTCAGCTCAATATGGTCTTATGGGACCACCATTGTATATTCAATCCGTTATTGACTCCAAGTCATTGTGGCACATTACTGTGCCATTTAATTCACATTAATGTAAGAGCTCCCCATTGTGGATCACCCTGGTGTATAGGATACCAATGAATGAAAAATAAAAGATTTTGTAGAACTAGAGATTGCACAGGCAAAAGTTAATCCTGACTTGAAAGATATGGCGTAAGTGTGACTCTCCTAAGTTCTTTTTTCTTTAAATCATATTTTATTTTTCAATTATAGTTGACATACAATATTATATTAGGTTCTGGTGTACATTCCAGTGTTTAGACATTTTATAACTTACAAAGTGATCATCCTGATAAATCTCATACCCATCTGACACCATATATAGTTATTAGAATATTATTGACTATATTCCCTATGCTGTAATTTACATCTCCATGGCTGTTCTGTAACTACAATTTGTACATAACCCCTTCACCTTTTTCACTCATCCCTCCAATCCCCTCCTCTCTGGCAACCATCACAATATTCTCTGTATCTATGAGTCTTAGATTCAGTTGTTGATAGATAGGTATTTATTGCGATTTTATGGTTCATATTTTTTATCTGTTTTTTCTTCTTTTTCTTAAAGAAGACCCTGTAACATTTTATGTAATACTGGTTTGGTGATGATGAACTCCTGTAGCTTTTTCTGCTCTTGGAAGCTTTTTATCTGTCTTTTGATTCTAAGTAGCTTTGCTGGGTAAAATAATTTTGGTTGTAGGTCTTTGCTTGTCATCACTTCGAATATTTCTTGCCAGTTCCTTCTGGCCTGCAAACTTTCTATTGAGAAATTAGCTGATAGTCTTATGGGGGCTCCCTTGTAGGTAACCAGCTGCTTTTCTTGCTACTTTTAAGATTCTCTCTTTGTCCTTAACCTTTGGCATTTTAATTATGATGTGCCTTGATATAGGCCTCTCCCTTACTTGGTGAAGGAAATAGACATAATAGTTCAGGAAGCATAGAGAGTCCCAAGGAAAATCAACCTGAAGAGGTCCACTCCTAGGTTCTTTTGAGGGCAAGTAATTGTTTGGGTTTGCAGCTGTAGTCTGGCCCCTAAATGTGCCAGCTATCCTCGGCCAAGTGGGTGATAGGGTCAGAGGTCATGATGCAACCAAATTCATGGTCATTAGCTAGAATCACATTCTGTCTCTGGTGGATCAGTAGTGTGCCCTATAATGTAGGGAGAGAGGCAGCAGAACATGGTGACTGTATGCAAATCCCCACTCTGCCACTAACTGTCATCAGATAAAATGAAGATAATAATTCCTACCTTTCAGGGTATTTGTCAAGATTAAACTGATAAAGCAATTTGAGCACAGTGCCTAATAGATAGTAAACTCTTGATAAATGGTAGTTGTTTGTCCAAACCAGTTACACTTTCAAAAAGGAAAGGAGGTACTGAAATGATACATATTATATAACTTATATGTTATATAATTGAAAATTTTATATATTTGCTGAAAAATTAGTTTTATTATGTGGATAGTTCTATAGAGTATTTATATTTAAACATTTTAAAAATGATAGTCTTTAAGAAATCCATGTACATTAAAGCAAAATAAAAAATGAAACCATTATATTATCTTATTTGAATATTAAAAATAAGTATGATTATTTTTGTTAAGTATTTACATAATCAGCTTTTTAGTCATATCTGTCTCTACTGGCATTTTTGGCATTTTAATACCAAAAATGGTATTAAATGGTATTTGGCACTCTATATACATCACTGGCATTTTTATGCAAATGCCTTTTTTTCCTAATGTGAACATTATTTTTAATCTTTTCATGATATCCGCAGTTGTTTTATAAGTTGTACTTTGTTAATAAAGTTGAAATTGACACCCAAAATTAACTCTCTCCTGTAAACCATAATATTTTTACTTGAGAAAAGTAATTTCTCTACAGGAACTGAGTGAAAACTGAGTGAATTCTGCCAAATAGAGAATATTTTCAATTATAATATTTTTTTGTATTAAAATGTGTAAGTAATCAGCTAAAATATAATTCTTGATACTGGGTTTTTTTTTTTGTTTGTTTGTTTTTTTGCCTTCATTCAGAGTTTGTCTTGACACACACTTCTAGAGGACAAAATTCATAAGATAATTTATCTCCAGATGTGATTCTTTTGATGTTTCCCCAACTGGGATGCTACAAAATCAAAAGTGCTCCTAATGTTTCTCTCCACAAGTGGATATATTCCAAACAGCATTTATGGAATTTCAGTATTAAATCTTGGGCAAGACTTGAGTGTTCATTATTTAATTTATTTACTCGTTGTTATAGTTGGGGTGTTTTAGGTATTTCTTTTTGCAAGTTTTGTTTTTCAGTAATTGTAATTCTCCAAAAGCCAAAGTTTTTTGGTGTTCCTTGAATTTTTGATTAAAATTTCTAACTGCTATTGGACAAATGCAACCCAAATATAGAGGACTCATTTACAAAAAGTTCAGTACCACTTATAGGACATACTAAGTAGTTCCAATTAATGATGGGCAGTGAAGAGAGAAGTCTAGTGTGGCCATACTGAAGTGTGTGTGTGTGTTTAATTTTAATTTTAATTGCTTTTAAAATTCAACATCAACCTCTATACAAAAATTGTGTAGTTTAATATTTGGCATATTCAAAATTTAAAAATTTGGGGTGATAAATATAGCTTCTTTTTCAATTGTTATATGTAATTTCTTTGAGTGAAATTATGACTTTTATTTGCACTTTAACCATTTCCAATTACATTTCTGCTTCATATCTTAATTTTGTTTTAATTAATTAATTAATTAAATTTCTTGGATGCTTGTGTCCCTCCCCACCCCCATTCATCCATATCTTAACTTTGTGGTAGATGTCTCACTCCTGGCTGGGTGGCTCAATTGCTTGGAGCATTGTCACGCACACCAGAAGGTTTTGGGTTCGATTCTGGGTCAAGGCACATACCTAGGTTGTGAATTTGATCCCTGGTTGGGGCATGTGCGGGAGGCAACCAATTGATGTCCTTCTCTCTCATCAATGTTTTTCTTTCTCTGTCTCTCTAAAATCATAAAAACATATCCTCAGGTGAGGATTAAAAAATAAATACATTAAATTAGATGTCTTAAATTAGTAAAATTTTGTTTTTTTTCCCCTGTAGCTACTGTGTTCCACCAAAATTACACAATGCTATCACAAATACTTTTAAATTAAATTCGTGGGAATATTCACAATAATGTTAGCTATTTAATCTTAAACAGAGTAAGTTTCTGGAAACATTGCTTGGATTTCATGAATTAGTTAAAAAAATCAAGCCATTTTTGGAATTAATCTTTCTAGGTGAAACTTTGATAACACTGACATAAAATTTGAAACATGGAACTGTTTATAAAAATTCTTCTGTGTTCATTACCGTACACATTACAGCAACCCCTTGGTCCTCAGGCCATCAATCCACTGAGCCACACCAGCCAGGGCAGCACTTAATATTTTAATAAATGTAAACTTCCATTTTTGAGCTCATTGTTATTGAAAGAGCTTATTGCAAAAAATAAAGCATCACCAAATAATAGCATAGTTATTGTAGGTATACTAGTACATCATGCAAGAAATGACCAAGTCATTATGTTAAGAGTGTCTAGATTGGTCTCTATATGCTTTTAAGGCAGCACTCTTGGCCTCTTTTCCATGAAAACATTTTGAATACCCTAACCCGTAATTTCCCACCTCTCCCACCAGCTGTGCCTTTGCAGTTCCATTCATCCTGCAGGCCTGAGCGTGGGCATGGCACGCCGAGCTGGTAAGTCCCAGGGCACAGGGCAACAGCGTGTGTTCTCAGCACCACCAGAGGCTGGAGGAGTTTGCGGTTCCTGGCAGCTCTGATTTGGGTGCATTTTCTTCTCTCAGCAAATGCAGTGCTGTCCTGAAGAGGAAGTGTTGGTTCCATTGTATTTGGGAAGGACTGGGGAAAGTAGAAATGGGTCATGGCTGGTTATCGTTCGTTAGAGTGATATCTGTGTTTGCTGCTTGTCTTAGCTCAGAGTGCTGTAGCCAAATATAGACTGGGAGGCTTAAACAACAGACATTTCTTGCAGTTCTGGAGTCTGGAATTTCAAGATCAAGGTGCTGGCAGATTCTGTGTCTCGTGAGAGCTTACTACCTGGTTTGAAGATGGCTGTCTTCTTGTTATATCCCCATATGGCCTTTCCTTGATGTGCATGTGTGTGTCTGGGTGTGTGTTTATGGGGTCAGCGGCTCTGGTTCATTTCTCTCACGAGGCCACTAATCCCATTGTGAGGATTCCATCTTCATGACCTCATCTAAGCCTAGTTATCTCCCCAAAGTCCCACCTCCAGATACCACCTCCAGATACCACCTCACTGGGAATTAGGGTTTTAACACATAGGTGTTGACGGGGACACAAACATTCAGTCCATAGCACTGCTCATGTGCTTCATGTAGTGTTGGATGAGACCAACACTGCATGGGGGGAGCTTGGAAATACAAAGTGTAGGGCTACTCAACCAATCCCAGTGTCACTTATTTATTTATTTATTTATTTAAAATTATTTATTTTTAGAGAGAGGGGAAAGGAAGGAGAAAGAGAAGGAGAGAAACATCAGTGTGTGGTTGCCTCTTCCACATGCCCAACCGGGGACCTGGCCTGCAACCTAGGCATGTGCCCTGACTGGGAATTGAACCAGCAACCCTTTGGTTTGTAGGTTGGCACTCAATCCACTGAGCCACACTAGCCAGGGCCCAGCGTATTTTAATACAACTATTAATAGTAGTTCTTCACTAAAGTGAAAATATCAAGGCAAATGTTAAACCAAACAGGATGGCAGGACAATAGGCCCAAACCTGGACTGTCTGGGGCCCGATAGGGACCCTAGCCATTATTAGAAAGGATGGCACTTTATCTGAAAAGAAGTTTTTACATAGGGACGCTAGAGGGCGCTTTAGACTGTAAGAATTTTGAGAATTTTGCTTTAATTTACAGGACACATTCAGTATAAAATTGATGTTAACAAGTTTTAAAGTGAATAGTTTATAAACGTTTAAAATAATCATAAAATAGTAAATGGTTTATTTACTTAGGTAAATACATATTAGGTGATTTTGATATTCTAAGACTATGAAAAAATTCAGTACAAATGTTTTGGTGTGTTTCCACCATTACCCCATGCTAAAGGTTATGATAATTCTATTTTTGTTTAACTTCAAATTTTAAGAAAAAGTCTTCAGGAGTGCCTTAAGGTTAAATATTGGGTTGCAGTTTGCCCTCCCTAACTGAGATTTTGTTTTTTTCTTGAGGGGAATGGCAGGGAGGAAGTGCTCTACAGCCAATTAAAACAACTACAGCATTGTTCTTTTTTTGAGATGAACCTAATAACATTATTTTATATACACGTGGCATCCACTGTTCTTATCATAAGTGTTGACGAGTACGAGTGGGTTATTAAGGCAAGTGCTCTAGTCTTTAGGGAAACACAAACAGTGGAAGGAAATGTTTGACCTGGCATCTGATCTAGGGCCTGTGGTTTTATCTCCACCTCTGTGACTTTGGGCAATTCTACAATCATTCTGGGTATGTTTTTTAATAAAATGATGGGGTTGAACTAAATGACTGCTAAGTCTTTTTTTAAGTCTAAAATTATCTAATCTTGAGTCTTATACTTAACTTTGATTAGTCTTCAATTTATATTTGCACATAGGTGTCATGTGTAGAAATTACCTCCAACTCACACTGTGACGTCTGGGGCACTGTATCACCTGGATCAGACGAGAGTGGGGAGGTAGGTGATTCCTGTCAAGTTCTTTGTAATGGCTTGTTCTGCATCAGAAATAAGTAGCTTTTGTCCACTGCCAGAAAATACTCATATAGGTACTGCTGCCCAGCCTCAGAGTTCCTTTGAAGCAAAAATGATGGTCAAATGTTTACATTTCATTGGCTTTCTGGCTAGTATTTACACTAGAATAAAAGTGAGAGGCCAAAAATCACTTGAGACTTAAAATCCAGTCTAATTAGTCTGTTTTTGATGTTAGGAAAATGAACAAGATAAACATTTCCCAGATAACTATGAGCCCCATTTGCCCTCATATAATTGGGGCCAGACTCGTTAGCGATCTGGTGTTTGATTTAATAGTGTTGCTATACAGGTGTTTAACTCCTGAAGAATGCTCTAACATTTTCAACTGAGTTTTCCTTATAAAAATATATTGTTGAATAATGTATGCTTTACATGGAAAAGTAAAATGTTAGCAACATTCACCTCTTTTGGAAGGAAAATAATTTGGTTGGTGGAATTGTACAACTCTTGTCTATATACACACAAAAAAGTGATTCTTAGCATGTTTCTAAATTTGTAAGATTTTCAGTAACCATTTGCATGTCTTTATATAAACACATGTCTGTGTGAGTATGTGCCTGTGTGCATGTATTTTCATTTCTTGTGTCTGCAGGTGTATCTCTATGTTCATACTTCAAGTGTACATTCATTACAGTTAGTAACTCTTGGATGATAACTTGTTTTACATCTTGAAAGTCGTTCTGTACTTCATGGTTCCCCATCTGTGATGCTAAAATCAAAATTAAGCAGATCCCAAAGGGAACTTGCGTATCTTGGTAATTTCTTCATGACTCATAATGTATGAACTGTGTCTTGGGAGCAGCAAGCAGAGTAGGGGAGGAAAGGACACAGAGTCTAAACGAAAAAGGAAAGTAAGGCAGGGATCTGCTGGGTCTCAGTCCAGGGAACTTGGCCAGATGGGTGCACAACTAGTCAAGTCTGCAAGGAGACCATAAGTGGAAGCCTCCGGAGGTCAATGTCAGGAAGATTCAACCCATCTATTATTCATCAACCCTGTACTGAGGGCCTAGTTTGTGCCAGGTGCTACAATTGGTGAAATGAATGTGGAAGTTTCTTCCCTCGAGCATTTTAAGGACTAGCAGGTAAAACAGACAAAGACCATGGTAAAATCATAAATGCTAAGAGGAGTGCCATGGGAACCTCAGGAGCTCAGGCTGCTAGCCGGCAGAAGACCTCACTGAAGGTGCAATGTTCAATGTCTTTCAAGGGAAGACAAGGGTCGTGCTGGGGAGTGACAGAAGTGCCTGTCAGACATGGACCTCTCAGTTCTTTTAAGGCTTTATGAGGTCTTTGATAGACAGGCTGGCTTGAATTCAAGATAGTGAATCCCGGTTTTGTTGTTGTTCCTTAGATAATCTTCACTTACTTAAGGAGTACAGTGATTTCCTCAGTCATTTAGTGTGGTGGATACCAGCCAGCAGTATCCATCTCTGCTGCAGATGCTCGTCAAAACACAAGAAAAACACACAGAGACAACCAGGTCCTGTGGGGAAATAGGAACGGAATGGCCACTCTTTCTAGTGGAGAGCATCCTGTTTTCCATTCCCAAGCAGATTTTTATTGAGAATACAGACTTAGTTTGTGGATTCACAGTGTGGCAGAAAAGATCAAAAGAACTAGGTGATTTACAAAGGTGCAGACAGAATCCCTGCTGTGATTCCGGGCAGAGAGTAGAGTTTTAACATTTGAAAGGAGTAACAGGGCTAAAAGGGCAGTTTTGGTTTCCTGTCTTTGCCTTCAAATTGTAATCTAATAACATCCTCCAGCAAGCAGATCTCACAGGATCTTGCTATATATTCTATGTCCCAGGCCTGATTACCCCAGGGGTCCACCAACTCTGGTCTGGACTGCACTGTCACTATTTCCACAGGCCTGAGTCAGGCAGAGGAGACAAAGGCAGCCAGAAGACTTGGATTTCTCACATCTAAGAACAAGGACTCAGGTTTTGACAAAGCCAAAGGGCAGGGGTTGATGTCCATCACCCCTTCATTTCCACAGCCCTGAGTCTCTCCCCAGAAGCCTCCACATGATCATGCCTTTCTTAGGCATTTCCCTCTGTGGGAAATCTTACCCGTCATTGGCTAACTGATCAAGCTTAGGAGGCCAGGCACAGAACAGGCAGTATTCATGCCAGGGAAATAAGTTTTGTCTCCTTAGTGGCTTCTGGTCTGGAGGTCTCTCACTCAGCCTAAGTCATGGGGGGTTACAGCTTCCTGAGACCAGGCAGGGTGGTCCCCAACAATTTAGCTAAAAATTAATTTTATTATTTTTCATTAAAAGTATGTCAGAAACAACACAGAGGGAAGAGAGAGATCAAATGGCTGATCAATATTTCCACTATTGTTTTTAATGAAATAGTTTTCAAGATTAGCAGTCAAGACTCCTTTAGTTGACTGAGGGAGTGAAACTCCACTCCAACTAGCCTATGTGAAAAAGGGAATTTGTGGGTTCATATAATTGGGAAGTCTAGAGGGTGGACACAGGAATAGCTGGACCAGAGTTTCAAAAGCTGCCCCTCATCTCATTTCTCTTCTTACAATTTTAGATTCTATAGTTTTTAAAAACAGTATCTTTCTTGAGAATTCTAATGAGGTAGAGAACTTTGGTTGGATGAGCATGTACTAAAAAACTGAAAAAAACCCCTTGTAGAATTATAAAATAAAAAAGAAAGTCATCCTCTTGGTACCCCATTGCTTAACTTTTGTGGGACAAGAGTGTCAAACATTGAGAATAAAAAAATATCATACATCAGCCCTGAGCACTGAAGGTCGAGAGTGTTAGACTGACTCATATAACGTATGTGTTAGGTATTTTTCCTAAACTTTTTATGTGTAACACATCAACGTTCATCCAGATTCGATGAGATAGGCATGAATGTTATCTGTACTTTATGGATGAGGAAACAGAGGCACAGGGAGTTGAGACTGCCCAGGGTCATGTGCTAGTGCATAGAAGTTTGTTTTCAGTCATGTGCTCTTAACCATTATCCTGTATAATACAGTTGCATGCATAATAGTTAGTGAATAATTTCTAATGAATGGGTAACTATTGTGTTACAAAGATACAAAGGTACTTTGTGTTACAAAGCACATGGTAAAGAAGGAAAGAGGGAAAATGCTGTATTTCCACCCCCAGCAGTTAGCTTGATAATTTGATGCATCCACCCAGCTCCCAAGGGTCTGGTGCAGTCCACTCAAGGTGGGGATGGGCTTACCTGGATCATATCAAGGCTTACTTGAAAACAGTGACTATGGATTCAAGGCCACAACTAATCAACCCTGAGGAGTTTGGCTCTGGGGTAGCATAAAAGAGCAAGGGGAACAAGAATGGGGTCCACTTCCTGAGAGAATAGGTAAAATGCAAGGTAGGAGGAGGTAATGCTTAAACACACTCCACAGCTCTGTTCTGTAAACCAAGTATTAGGAACAGCAGAGCCCCTCTGTCTGCTCTGGGAGCCAGACCTCCTTGGGTAGAACCCTAACCAGGCAAGAAAGACACTGAGGTGCTAGGACTAAAGCTGGTTTCAGTGAGGGATGTGTGAGGTGGGGGTGCGGGAAGTATGTGTGAGATGTCTCCCTTGGCTAATTCTTTTCTGTCTTTTTTTTAAATCAGATTTTATTTATTTATTTTTAGAGAGAGGGGAATGGAGGGAGAAAGAAGAAGAGAAACATTGATATGAAAGAGAAACATTGATCAGTTGCTTCCTGCATGTATCCTGACTGGGGACCAAACCTGCAACCCAGGCATGTGCCCTGACTGGGAATTGAACTGGCAGACTTACACTTTGCAGGATGACGCCTAACCAACTGAGCCACCCTGGTCAGGGGCCTTTGTTGTTGTTGTTGTTGTTGTTGTTGTTGTTGTTGTTTTTAGAAGTTTTTAAATTGTGGTTAAATATGCATAACATAAAACTGACGGGTTGTCAGTGTGTTTGCACGTCAGTATACATTCACAGGGCCTATATGGGCATACGTTGTTTTGTTGCATTTCTCTAGTGCATCACAGATGTTGCATTTTTTACAAATTGAAGGCAAGACCCTCTATCACTGAAAAGATTATGAATTGCATTATTGTGGTGGTCTGGAACCAAAGCTGCAATATCTCTGAGGTATCACTGTTTTATGGAAATTTTTCATCATTTCAAATAGAAGCTCCCCATTTACCCCACTCCCCTGCCCCTGGTAACCTCTACTCTAGTTTCTCCCTCAGTGAATTTGCCTATTCTAGGTACTTCATATGATTGGAACCATACAGTATTTGTCCTTTTATAAGTGGCTTCTTTCATTGAACACAATGTGCTCAAGGTTCATCCATGTCATAGCACGTGTTAGAATTTCATTTCTTTGTTAAAACTAGAAGCCTGGAGAGGTGATGGCATGAGGTGGTCTGGGCTTCCCCCCATGGGTGGCAATGGGAGTGAACAGAGCAGGGGTGCAGCCCTCTTGCTCATCAATAATACTGAGTCGTCGCCCAGTGGCTTCCTTGCCATTGCGAAGGCTAGCCAAGGGCTGGGATGGATGGGGCAACAGCAAAACAAATTTCTCACCCCTCACCTGTCCCCAGGTTCCTTGTCCATTTTACCTAAAATACAGGGACTAGGAGATTGACTTAAGAGTGAGAGAGAATGCAGAGTTGAGGTGGGAAGAAGGCCTGTCAAGTATTCACACTTTACTGTGAGTTCATGTTATCAGATCGTTCTTGCTTCTGCTTCTCCACACTCCCAGCTGAACTAAGCAAATAGGAATTACAGAGTTGGAGTGCAGAGTAGGGTAAGGCTGAAGCTTTGCAGCATATGTATGGCATCTGGTGTGGATATCACCTCAGCTCCAGGTACCTGGAGAGACGGAGAGAGTCAAGAGAAACCTGGTATCCAGAGGAGAAGGGCAGAGGAGCCATTCTTGCTCTTGCCAATCTTAACAGGGACC